ACACACACACACACACGCGCTAACCCTGCCTCACCTCCAGTGTCTCTTCAGCAGTGCAGCCTGGTTGCTGCTGCAGCTTGCCTGTGTTCAGGGCTTCGATGTATTCATCACATTTCTTGTAGCCAGCATTCAACAGCTCGTGCTTGGCCTTCAGCAGGCCCTGGCCAGGTGTGACATCACCGATTCCAATGGAGAACCCCCGGTTAGCTGTGGAAGAATTGGCAGGCAGAGCAAGAAGAAAGTGATGTTCTGGCAGAGCTGTTAAGTAGAATTCACACTACTCTATGTAGTGTGCACTACACAGCAGCCCCCTTAACTGTGGACAGGTGCCTGACTATGCAGCGCTCACCAAACCCCATAGGAACTGTCTTCCTACACACCTAGGAGAAAGTTTGATTATAACAGACACAGTAAGAGATAAACAATAAACTGGGACAATTACAGCAAGATGCTGTAAAAGCTTGTAACTGGTCTCTCTTTCAAATACCACATGTACTAACTCACCCTTTGCAAGACCCCAGGTACCTGTAGTGAAACTAGAAAGTGAGACCCCAGAAGAGGGTCACTGCAGGGAACCATGTGGACTCCTTCCTTCCTCTGTCCCTCCTTTTAGCTGTTCTGAGGACTAAACCAGGGCCCTGCACATGCAAAGCAAATGCTGTATTACTGAGCCACACCCTCAACCATGCAGTCTAACTACAAAAAGTTTAGATCTTCCCAGTACTTTTTATAATTCAACTAAATAAAAGCCTCTCGTTTCAGTCTCTGGGGATTTAGGCAAAATGGCTAAGATTCACCAACTCTTCCTCTGAGACCCAGGGCCCCATGGGAACACAATAATGTTCCTAATTATTAACTAAAGCAAAGCAATGAGGAACAGGGAAGCGTGGCCTGAGATGTGAGCTGTGGAAAGTGAGCCTCTGACCACTGGTCTAGGATAACACAGACGAAGCCACCTGCCTCCTGTTCTCGAAATCACTCTAAAGGAGAGAGAAGAAGGGAAGGTAGGGCTGGGGGTGTAGCTCAGTGAAGAGCGTATCACATCTACAATGTGAGACCTGAGTTCAGTCCCCAGCAGAAGAAAAAAATTATATAGAGTTAAGTATAAATGCATCTCTGGTGGACTAGACCTAAGCTTTGTACACAAAGAAAATGGGTGGTTGGGTGGTTAGTCCTGGTTGGATGTGAAAGGAGATGTCCAACAGTATCTTCAGGTGGAGAACTCACAAACCTAGACAGGCTCAGAAATGAGACCTTTAGTTATGTGGGAGAAGAGATGCTGGGAACAAGGAGAGCTGGTGGAGAGTTGCACGCCAAATAGGACGACAAGGCACTGAAGAAACGCCTGTGCACTCCATGATGGGAAGCCCTGAGCTTGCTCTCTGCATCCCAGCAGCCAAGCTGCTCTATCCCTTGGGTGGGAGACTGGGACAAGAAGAGATGTCTCTGAAGAATGAAGCCTCCCCAGAGAAAAGTATCACTATTGGGGACAGATGGTAGTCCTTTCTCAAGAAAGCTGGCTCCCAGCTCAACCAAGGAACTGGAGGCTATTAAGTCATCGGCTCCATTCCCAATCAGTACTTAGTATCTCATGCTCAAGAATGAATGGACAGCCAGGGAACACCAGGTATTTCAGGACAGTTTTAACATCAAAAACACAAGACAAAAAATATAGAGGGGGAAAAGAAATGAAACAGAAATGGAAAATTCAGGGAGCAAATGGAGTAAAACTCATTAATATTTCCTCAGAGACAAACCCAGAGATCAAGATGAAGTAGATGGGAAAATCCCAAAGTAGACAAAGAGAAAAAAGCTCCACCAATTTACAAATAATAACAATGGGAAATCTGATTAGAAATTCAATACACACCAAAGAAAACATTTTTGAAAAATCAATGGAATTGCCAGGCATGGTGGCGCACACCTTTAATCCCAGCACCTGGGAGGCAGAGGCAGGAGATCTCTGTGAGTTCGAGGCCAGCCTGGTCTACATAGTGAGTTCCAAGACAGCTGGGACTACAGGGAGACCCTGTCTCAGAAAGACCAAAAAAAACAAAAAAACAAACAAACAAATCAACAGAATGGGGCTTGAGAGATGGCTCAGTGGTTAAGAGCACTGGCTGTTCTTGCTGAAGACCTGGAGGTTAACAACCATCTGTTAATTCCAGTTCTAGGGGATCCAACACCCTCTTCTGACCTCCACAGCACTGCACAACATGGGTGCACTTACACACATGCAGGCAATACAGTCATACACATAAATAATAAAATTAAAAAAAAATCAACAGAATAAAAGGTGAAAGAAATCTAAAATAAAGGTCAGAGAAAACAGAAGAATGGGAAGAATTAATCCAGTAACTCAATACAATCAATGGAAGTTCCAAACAGAAAGACATGACAAGGAGAGAAAATTATCAAAGGAATAACATGCAAAAATTTCCAGAATGGAAGGACACACTGCTGCAGGTTTGTAAGAGCTTACAGAGTGACTAACACAAAAAATTAATGACCCCACGGAGCATTCCACTGTGAACTTTCAGAAAAAGAACCAACACAAGACTCCAAGTCTCCAGATGGAAAAAAATAGTTCAAGTACACAATGTGGGAGTAAAAATTACTGTACACTTCCAGTAGCAACTCCGAAAGCTGCAACAGAATACAACGATGCCTTCAAAATTCTGAGGAAAACTAATTTTCAATCTAGACTGTTTCATCCAGGCAGAGTCAAGTATGAATAGAATCAAGATTTTATGATTAGCAAGATCAGTCAGTGGGTAAAGGCACTTGCGCCAAGCCTGACTACCTAAGTCTGATCCCAGGCCCCACAGAGTAGAACTGACTCCTACACGTTGTCCTCTACCCACCATATGTGCTATGGCATGCAAGTACAACACTCACATCATTCACATGTATACACTCCCACACACACAGAAAAACAAAAATAAAAGAGACAGGGATTGACAGATAATGTAGTAAGAGCAAAACAAAATAAGATTTGGGGGAGACATGCAAAAATCACCAGATACACACCATGCTCAAAGTATGAGCAAGCAAAGGGAAGAGAACAGTGTGAGCACAGTAGGGCGGCACTGAACCATCTGCAGGTTCCACCAAGTACCTTGGAAGCAGCCCACGAAGGACTTTTACACAATGCACCCCTATTGTGTAGGCAATATGAAGCTACCACAGATTTTAAGAAAAACTAAAAATCAAATTCAAATGTGCCCACTCATCAGTACTGAGTTAACTTCATTGATAAAAACATAAATGGCTTAGCAGGCCTGTTCCTGTGTGCTGGGGGGAAGGTGGGGAACAACAGTAAAAGAACAAAGTACCACAGAGCACTAGAATGTCACCTGACGCAGCAGCAACACAAGGCTGCTGAGATACTCACACAGGTAGACAGGAGCCAGCCTGGCAAGCCGAGACATGGCGTCGGCAGCCTCATTCTGCCCCCAGTCTCGTAGCAGAATGTAGAAGATATTGTTCTTGGATCCCGACCCCAGGGTTCCTTTGTCCATGCTGCCACTCATCAGCTCACTGTTCTGGATTGTGACGTCTGCAAGGATGATTGAATGCAGCTGAATGAGCGAGTATCTAGTACTTGCTTCATTCCAAAATGAAGTTAAGAAAAATGTTTACTGAAATTAAAGCAGAGCCAAAAGAAATTCTCCTTAAAGATTTTGTTGAGAAAAGAGAAAACCAAGGAACTGTTGAAAAGTACAGATGTGCCAGGTCATTAGCTTATATCTAACCCTGAAATGTGCTCGGAAGCCTCGCTCTCTTCAACTGTGAACTGTGGAGGGCAGTACCAAGTGCCTGTCATCTTTATGTCACAGGTATGACATTTGAGCATCAGTTCAAATCATATGTGTTCAAGTTCATATCAGTTCAAGTTCATGTATGGCAAAGTGCTTTGCAAACTGTAGAGCAATTTGCTACTCATCTAAAATACTGAAAACTAACAGAGGCACCATCAACAGCCTATAAAGCAACAAAAAGAAATTCTAGAAAGAATGAAACACAGTATTAAATAAGTTTGGACTGGAGATGTAGCTTAGTGGTAGAGTGGGCACTTTGCATGGGTGGGAAGTGAACCCAGGGTCTCATGTACACTAAGCTACACCCTGAGCTACACCCCTAGGGTGCCCTCTTTCCCTCCCTGCTTACTTCTCCTATTTTTTTCTTTTGTCCTTTTAAAATATTTTATTTATTTTGCCGGGTGTGGTGGCACAGGCCTTTCATCCCAGCAGGTGGATCTCTGTGAGTTCGAGGCCAGCCTGGTCTCCATAGCGAATCCAGGCCAGCTAGGGCTACAGGGGGACCCTGTCTCAAAAAGACCAAAAAAAAATTTTTTTTTTATTTTGTTTCACTTTTTTCCTCTTCTCTTTTCCCAGGAATAAATGTGAGGAAAATCAGTGCCCTTTCAAATGCCAGAACACAGCAGGAATTCTGAGCTTCAGAGAACCTAAGTTAGTTCCTTAGTTGAGCACTGCGAAAATTCGCAGCTAGTTCCAACGCTCTGCTAGCAAAGTTCATTCTGAATCTGTGCTACTTAGGTAACCTGTTGGAGGTTGCTTGCTGGTGATCCAGGGAGCGCTAAGGAGCCTACGCTAGAAAGCAATCACTGGAGGGAGGCTGTGGGCCACACTTAGGTTACTACTTTAAACAGATTCAGATGCCTTTATATCCTTGTCTAGTAGATAACACTGTCTTCATGCCAGCAAGATATTTTCTAAGTAAAATCAGACAAGACTTAGTCTTGAGCTGGGCATAATGGCACACACCTTTAATCCCAGTACTTGGGAGGCAGAGACAGGTGGATCTCTGTAGGATAGAGGCCAGCCTGGTCTACATAGTGAGTTCTAGGCAAGCTAGGGCTGCAGGGTGACCCTGTTTCAAAAAGACAAAAAAAAAAAAAAACACATATAATAATAATGATGATGATAAATTATGTTCCTTAAACAACGTTTGTTGATAGTCCCCCACAAAAGGCAAATATAGTTGGGCGTGATTATGCATGCCTTTAGTCCCAGCACTTGGGAGGTAGAGGCAGGCAGCTCTTTGTGGGTTCGAGGCCAGCCTGGTCTACATACTGAGTTCAAGGTCAGCTGGGGCTACCTGGGAGACCCTGTCTCAAAAAGAAAAAAAAAAGCAAAATATGACATGCTGCATTAGTTGACAAAAACCAGTCATTTAGGTAAGAACATTCTAACCCCTGGCTCTCATGTTCACATCATCTCTACTGTCCAGAGGAACTGGGGATGAGAGCCAAGATGTGAAGCAGCTCCACTTTCCTGAAGAACATACTTCCTGTTGGACTCTGTCCAGGAACACTGGAGCTGCCGGCTAAGTGAAGGTACCCGGTGAAGCCCATTCTCTGCCACCTGCCTGCTCCTCCCCACCCCACCTCATGTTGCTGACTCACAGGAATCATTGACGCAGAGGTCTTCCCCCTTGCCGCAGTACTGCTTGCCCTTAGTTCGGAGGTTGGCCCTCACGGGGTTGTCATCACTAGGTCTGAGAATGACACTGAAGATCTGCTTTCCTGTCCACAGGGTGACAGGCTGGAAAAAAGGCAGCACATAAGGGGCTGGGCCTGGTTTCACATCTTTCTACTTAGGAAAGGCAAAAGGGTCCTGTAACTGCTTACAAGCCCAGCACCAGCCTGGTGACTTTCCCTCCACCAGCCCACCCACAGGGATCCCAGGCACACACCTTTAGTATGGTTGGGGGTGGGAGGCGCACTTTAATTTTCTCATCCTTGCCAACCAGTATTGAAGCAATGATTTGGCAAGCCTTGGCTCGATCAAAGAAAGTGTCCTTGAGGGTGAGGAGATAGGCACCTAGAAATGTTAAAAGCCAGCACAAAACAAAGAAAAGGAATAACAGTGGGGAAACCCACACACGTTACGGTTCAAATAAAGTTGGGATTATTACAGAAGGAATGAAACAGAGCTGCTGAATGGTACTCCCTCAACTCTACTCTAAGCTCCTAAGTAAAGCATCTTTGTTCCATTCATTGCTTTTAGTGCTGGGGCAAATTCTAGATCATGCAGCAGGCCTAGAAAATTCCAGAGGATTGATAGTTAAGGCCAGCCTTGGCTACATGGTGAGCTCAAGGTCAACCCGCATGAAACTCTATCTTAAATGCTCTTTGCCCCCACAAAAAAGAAAAGAAATAGAAAAAATAAAATGTCAAGTCCATGGAGATCAATGAGCCAAATGAATAGCCAGACAGCAAAAAATGCTTCAGACGGGATGGAGAGATGGCTCAGTGGTTAAGAGCATTGGCTGCTCTTGGAGAGGACTGGCTGCATTCACTTCTCAGCACCAACACGGCGGCTAACAACCGATTTTAATTCCAGTTTCATGGGATCTGATACCCTCTTCTGGCCCACTCAGGCATCAGGCACATCTAGGCACTCACACTTATACACTTATAAAATTAAATAAATCTTTTTTCTTTTTGGTCTTTTTTGAGACAGGGTCTCCCTGTAGCCCCAGCTATCCTGGAACTCACTATGTAGACCAGGCTGGCCTTGAACTCACAGAGATCACCTGCCTCTGCCTTCTGAGTGCTGGGATTAAAAGCGGGCCATCACGCCTGGCAAAATTAATCTTTAAGAAAAAAAAAAAAAAAAAAACCCTTCGAATAGACTCAAGGGTAAACTTAGCAAACAACGACAAATGTAAAGACAGGGCAGGGCATGGCCATGCACACCTGTAAAGCCCTGCACTGGGGAGGTAGGGGCAGGGGAGACACTGCCTCAAACCAAAATCATAACACCCCTAAATACAGGTAATTACAGTATTCAGGCTGGCACATGACTGAGAATTGTCTCTTTTAAATTGAATTTAATAAACATACCTGTTAGGAAATCCTGAATAGCAGCAATGAGTGGCTCCCCATTCCTTGGGGTTACAAGATTTGCTTTAGTCTGAAAAGAAGCCCAAGTTAGACATCTTGGCTACACAATGGAGTCCTGTGATCTCTATCACAAAGCTGCTGAGTTGTGAACAGATAAACATCAGAAAGATAAAGCTGAGAGATGGCAGCCAAAGGTCCCTACCCTAGCTCCCACAAACTCTTAGCTCCCCTGGATATCAGGGGAAGACAAAACTCCCTATTTATTTATGCTTTTAAGACAGGGTTTCACTCTGTAGCCCAGGTCTGAACTCACTACATAGTCTAGGCTGGCCTGGAACTCAATGATCTTCCTGTCTCAGGTTCCTGAGCACTGGGATTACAGGTGTGCACCACCACATCTAGCTAAGAAAATTCCCTCTGTGAGCTTTAAGGGTGCTGTGTTCTCTCTCTGAAACCAGCCAATTCCATGTTCTCCATAATGATTCTTAGAACTGTACATTTTCTCTTATTTGAGATGTTCTAACAGGAATCAATTAGGCAACAGAGGAAAGAAAGAAGGTTCCATG